CCCCGAGCCTCGCGGGGCGCTGGCGGGGGCTGCATCCTGGGGACAGTGCAGATCCCGCAGGCCGCGCCTCCTGTTCTGCCCGCCTGCCTGACGGCTCTCCCTCTCCAGGTCCCACCGGAAGCGGAGCCAGCCCAGGAAGCCCAAGCCTGAAGACCCCAGGTCCCTGGGGGAGGGGGCGGCCGGCATGGCCCTCCTGGAGGAGGCCGGGGGCAGCATGAAGGAGGAGGCTGGGCCCGAGGCTGACCCCGAGGAGGAGGAGGATGAGCTACCGCCGCCAGGCCGGGAGGCTGAGGGCACGGAAGGTCAGTCCCGCGGCGGGGCCCGGCACCTGCGGCAGTGGGTCCCTGCTCTCCTGCAGGGTGGGGAACGCTGTGCCTCTTCCCAGAGCTGCAGTGGGTTGAGAGACAGGGCACTGTCTGTACTGGGGCCACACGGCACGCTGCTGTGGGGATGTCCCCTCTGCGAGGCCTCCCCTCCCAGGGCCCCTGAGACGGGGCGCAGCGCTCTGTGTGAGAGTGTGCACCAGGGTGATGTGAAGGGCAGGGGTCTCAGAACGCAGAGTGGGGCGTCGGTCCCCGTGTGTCTTGGAGTCCCCACTCGGTGCATGTGGCTGGCCTGCTCTCTCCTGTTTGGGTCTCCTGGGCCTGACTGGCTTCAGCCCTTGCAGCTGCTGGCGCTGCTGCCAGGAAGGAGGGGCCCTTCCCAGGCAGGGGCAGGAGTGGGGGCGGGGGGTGTGTGGCCCTGGCCACTGTGCTCCCAGGTCGCAGTGCCGTGCTCCCTGGAGGGTCCTGCCCGGTTCCTCAGTTTCCCTCTGAGCCCATGGGATCTTGTCTGCCCCACAGTTCCTGGGGCTGTGGCACCCGACAGCGTTGTCCTGGGCCCCGAGACCCAGCGTGGTGCCATCAGCTGAGTGCCTCCCTGCTTCCCGCCAGTGTGCCCCGCCCTGCCCAGCGGCAGGCCGGCATAGAGTGTCAGGCTGTGGGGAGGCCCGGGAGAGTGGTCGCACTGGGACTGGCCCCAGGGCCTCTGGGCCCTGTTTGCTGGCGCCATTCGGGAGTGTTCACCAGCCAAGGGAGGGGACGTGGCCAGAAGAGAGCATAGTCATGGCAGCACTGCTTGCATGTGGACGCGTCACCTGCGGAAACAGCCAGCGCTGCGTGCTGTCTGTGGTCAAGCCATGCAGCGACACAGGAGTCCATCACACAGCTGGGAGCTCGTTGCGCAGAGAGCATCGCGGCTCTCATGCACAAGCCACTAGCTGAAAACACGGCTCCAAGAGTGACCGTGCAGGACAGCAGCAACCCAGGAACGTCTCTCGGACTAACTCACAAAAATCTAAGGCCTTTATGGAGAATACCAGACTTTTCGAAAGGCAGGTTAGGAATTGCTAAGCAAGCTGAGTGATGCACCACGCAGACGCCACTCCACGCAGATCTGCAGGCCCAGGCAGCCCATCAGGGTCCCCCGGGCATGGGAATTGATGGCGATCCCACTGGCTGACTTAAACGCAGGCGGAGAATGGCCCAGGAACAGAGACTGGGGTGGTCCTGCTAACCTCAAGGCTGGCTGCCGGCATGCAGGACCTGAGCAAAGATGGGCAGATCGGGGCCAGGGCCAGTGGACAGGTGTTGTGAGATGGGGACCATCTACACAGGTCTGTGTGAGCTCACCGCAGCTGCTGTAACAGGCGGCCACAACCTCGTGGACTGAAACCATCATCTTACCCAGACCTCGCTGGGCCAAGTCCAAACTGTGGGTGGGACTGCGTGACATCCGAAGGCCCTGGTAGACCCCATGTCCCCCCTTCCGGTGTCGAGAGCCACCCACACCCCTCGGCTTGGGGCCGTCCTCCCTCCTCAGAGCTAGCAGCACAGCCTCCTCCTTCTCTCTCTGACTCTGAGCCTCTTGCCTCCTTCCAGGAGGCCCCTGCAAGGGTTTCAGGTCCCCTTCCCATCTCAGGGTCCTCAGCCTCGCTCCCTACCGTGAGTCCCTTCTGCCACGTGACGGACATATCCACAGAGCCCAGGATTGGGCTGTGGGCATCTCTGGGGGCCGTTCTCCATCTGCCACATGGCCTGAGGATTTGTGCTGGAGAGACACAGCTTTAAACCTGTGTAAACACAAAGCCGGAGAGCATCTTAGAACCTCAGGCTGGAGGAATTGCTATTAAGAATCACAAACCAGAAAGATAAAGATTGACAAGCCCAGTTCCTCTGGAATAAAGAGCGGCTGTTTATCGCAAGATGAGCCTTTGGGACTGTGAAGTACGAGCTTCAGATGGGAGAGAGACGTGAGGCTCATCACTGACTGAGAGTGGATGGGGACCCAGGATCCGCAGGAAGCTCGCACACAGGGCTGAGGAGGCTGGCCAGCTCTGGGGTGCACGTGGAGGTGCTGCAGCGCTCGTCAGGCCCGGTGGAGGAGGGCCAAGTCCCCAGCATGGGCGGAATTGCGGGGACAGCCCATCACCACCGTCCAGATGAGTCCAGCTGCCCTGGAGACCTGCTGGTCTCATCACGAAGGAAAGGGCCCACCCACGCACTTGGCTCCCCTCTGGGCTCCTGGAGAGACCCTCGTGTGGAGCCAGGGACTGTCTGCTGGCAGGAGGGGACATGCCTACGTCTGCTCTGCAGGCATGCGTCGTGGGGACATGCTGCACCCAGGCGGCTCTAAGACATGCCCTCACCGTATGGGCGCACCCTCTATTCAGAGCCCAGACAGGGCTGCTTACATGACAGGAAGGTGTTCTCACCCAGTCTCAGTGGCTTGAAGCTCAAGGTCTGAGGGCTGTGAGGGGAACTGTCCCAGGACTGTCTCTGTGGCTTGGGGATGTGTCCTCATGTCCCTACAGCCTTCACTGTAGACACGTCTGTGCCCAAGTGTGCCCTGTATAAGGCCGCCAGTCATACTGGACCAGGCCACCCTGACGACCTCACCCTAATTCCACCCACCATGCCACTGCGTCCAAGGAAGGTCACGTTCAGAGTCCTGGGATCAGGACTACAGCATGTGAATCTCGGGGGCACAGGTGAGCCCTCCCAGGACTGACCCTGCTCCAGCAGGGGGTGGGGCCGAAGGGAGGGCCTGTGGATGTCCTGGGACGTGTGTCTACCCTGCACATCCCTGGGGCCTAAGAAACATTCAGAAGCAAACACACTCCTGTAGGCAAGTTGGGTGGTGCCAGCCTGTGCTGTGTGGAGTGATCAAGGACAGTTTGGAGGCAGCCTCCAGGCGAGGGCCTCGAGTCTCATGGCAGCTTGGGGTGTTCCTGCTGTGACTCCCTCCACCTCCAAAAGAGAGCACACCGGGCCTGGGTATGGGAGCATCTGTAGTCCCAGCTACTCGGGAGGCGGAGACGGGAAGATCGCCTGAGCTCAGGATGTCGAGGCTGCGGTGAGCTGTGATCCCACCACTGCCCTCCAGCCTGAGTGAGCCAGACCCTGTCTCAGAAAAAAAAAAAAGCCAGGAGAACCCGGGCCTGTGGCCCCCGGGAGGCCCAACCTGTGCTTCCCCTGACTTTGGGAATGTCCCAGCTCCCTACTGAGGCTCCCTCAGCCCAGGCGGGTGAAAGGCCAGGCTGCCCCATGCCGCCTTCCTCTGGGTGTCCTTTCTGGCCTTGGGCCTTTCCCCCTAAAAGGCCCCGTGTGGGCCGGCAGAGGGAGGAGCCTGGGGTCAGGAAGGGTGAGGCCCAGGGCTCTTGCATGTTTGAAAGTCAAGGGCCCATGTCCCTCAAATCCTGGGCCTGTTTTGTCTCCGATGTGTGGTCCTGGGGAGGGCTGGGGACCACGGGGGCTTAGAGCCAGCCCTTGTCCTGCGGGGCAGAGGACAAGCCCTGGAGGCCTGAAGGGGGCGGGGGCCTCAGCCCTGCCTGGCACCACCTCCTGGGCAGTTCCACCAGCCTCCCGACTCACAGAAGGCCTGTGGGTGGGTGGACGCGGGCCCCTTGAGGAGGCGGAGACTCCACAGTCACTCCCAGCAGACACTCGCTGTGAGATGCGTACAGGCACACCTGCCCCTGCCGCCTGTCGCGCAACCCTGGCCGGCATCCCGTATGCTCAGGGCTGCGTGTTGTGAGGGGGCCCTGGGGAGTGACCCCTCCCCTCTTCACTGTGTCCTGGGCCCCTCAGGCCGGGGGCTGTGCCGCTACATTCTGGAATCCTCCTCCCTCTGGCCCCTAATACCGTTGCTCCCCAGCTGGGACCTCTGGGCCACATCCATGTCAGCCCCCACCCCAGAAGGCCAAGCACGACCCGACCTCCCTGGCTCTGCCACCAGCTGGCCACAGATGGGCCCTGTCTTGGCCCTTGCGGCCGCAGCGGAGTCCCCAGTGGGGAGGACGATGCGCTTGCCACCCCACAGCCAGGGGCATCCATTGGGTCATGAAGGAAGCACACTGTCGGATTCCCTTAGAGACACGAGCCGTTTGTCTGGAGTTCCTCTCACACAGGCAGCGGCTCCAAGGCCAGCTGCCTGCTGATCTGTGGACAGTAGAAGCAACTTTCCCAATGGCATTCTGGGCCCTTGCCGCCTGGCCCTCAGCCACCCTGCCTGTGCTGCCAGCCTGCGTCTAGCTTCCTGCAGGCCGGGTGCCCTGTGATGGCCCCTCTCGCCCATGTCTCGCCTCTGCTCCCAGCCTGCTGGGGAGGGAGCCGTCTACTGCCAGCATCTGCAGAGGGCTGGCTTTGTCTGTGTCTGCTGAGCGCCTACTGTTCACCTTCCCTGGCCCGGTGATGGCGGAGGGGAGGATAAGGCTCCCGGTGGTGCCTAAGAGCTCAGGACAGGCCGGCATGGGCCAGGGTGCAGCGGGCTCCGCTTGCCGTGGGCCATTGCTCCTCTCCAGAAAAGCACAGGCAGCCTGTGGAGGACACTTGAGCTGTCCCCGCCTGTGGGTGGGGGCCGGGATGGGTGTGGGAGGAGAGCTGGAGTGGAATGAGGGCACCCTGGGTGGGTGTGGGGGCCTGGCTGGAGCCTCCTGGCCGCTTGCTTGGGCAGGATCTACTGGGACGGGGGAGGATCCTCGCAGGGCCCGTTCTGGGTCAGTGGGTGAAGGTTGCAGGGGGAGCCCTCGCTCTTGGAGCTTTGAGTGCGGGGGCCTCGGCACTGCTGAGCCTGGCATCATAGGCTTTCACAGGAAGAGGTGACGTGGGCATCTGGCCCCAGGCAGACCCCGTGAGGTGTCTCATGGCCACCAGTGCAGAGTTCCTGTGCCTCACGTTTTCCTTTTTTCCAGCCTGGCTGGGGGTGGCGGTGACGCAGGAGCTGGGCCACCCACTCAGCCCGCTTTGCCCGGACCCTCTCTGTCCTCAACCATGTCACTCTTCCATGAGCCCGCTAGGACCTGGCAACATGCCGGGGGCCTGAGCCACAGTCTCTCTCTCCAGATGAGCGGGCAGGGCCCTAGTGCTCACCGTGTTCTGGGTCTGCAGTGGGTGGGTCACAGGCTGGTGTTCCTTGAGGGCATGGGTCCGAGGTACCGTGCCACCCCTCATCTGAGCTCTGCAGCCCCCATCACCCATGCGTGCGCTTCCCACAGACTCGTCAGCTTACGGTTCTGGGGTCAAAAGTCCCACACAAGCTGGGCGCAGTGGCTCACACCTGTTATCCCAACACTTTGGGAGGCCGAGGCGGGAGAATCGCTTGAGCCCAGGAGTTCTAGACCAGCCTGGGCAACATAGTGAAACCTCATCTCTACAAGAAATCAAAAAATTAGCCGGGCATGGTGGTACCTGTAGTCCCAGTTACCGGGCAGACCTAGATAGGTGGATCACTTTAGCCCAGGAGGTTGGGGTTGTAGTGAGCTGTGATCGCGCCAATTGCACTCCAGCCTGGGCATCAGAGCGAGACCCCAATCAAAAAAAAAAAAAACAACTCACATGGGCCTCTGGGCTAAAACCAAGCTGTGAGCAGAGCTAGTCCCTCTGGGAGCCCCAGGCAGACCCCGTGTCCCTCTTTCCAGCATCTAATGGTACCCGTACCCTCAACTCCAGGCCCATGTCCTCCATCCTCGGAACCAGCAAGCATGGCTTCTTCCCATCTCCCTCTGACCAGTACCTATCCCTGGCCTGTTAGGAAGCAGGCGGCATGGCAGAGCTCCGCCTCCTGTGAGATCAGCTGGACATTAGGTTCTTGCTGGAGCGCAAACCTGTGATGATCTGTGCACGTGAGGGTTCTAGGTTTTGCTCCCCAGGAGAATCAAACGCCGATCCACGGAAAAATTGTCTTCCACAAAACCAGTCCCTGATGCCAGAAAGGTTGGGGACTGCTGCCTCTGACTCTGAGCCCCCTGCCTCCTCTTACGAGGCCCCTGTGAGGACACGGGCCCCGGGTCGCCCAGGATGGTCTCCCAGGTCAGGGTCCTCCTCAGTCCCTCCTCAGATGCCCTTTGGTCTACGAGGTGCCACAGCCACGTGCCTACGAGAGCCGGGACCTGGAGGTCTTGGGGCCATGGTTCCGCTGATCACACTATCCCCCGTTTTGCTTGATTGACTGTGCACCCGTCTGCCCCTCATTGGGAAGTCTCCCCAGAGCACTGGGGACTTCGGGCCTGGCACTCGCCAGTCAGGTGGTCGCCTACTCCTGGTTCCTTGTCTGAAGGTTGGTTGGTTTGTTTTGAGTTGGAGTCTCATTCCGTTACCCAAGCTGGAGGGCAGTAGCACACTCAGGACCATCGCAGCGTCGACCTGCTGGGCTCCAGTGATCTTTTGCCTCAGCCTTCCAAGTAGCCGCAACTAGAGGCGTGCGCTATCACACCCGACTAATTTTTGATTTATTGTAGAGACCCCGGGCTCAGGCAATCCACTCGCCTTGGCCTCCCAAAGTGCTGGGATGACAGGCTGAGCCACTGAGCCCAGCCTGGGTTTGGTTTTGACTGTTCCACAAGTTGTGTGCATTAACGGCAGAAATAAGCAACATTCAGATACGTGAGAAGTCCTCCCCCACCTGGCAGGGCCCCGCCCCCTGTGCTGCAGTTGCCTGCTGCTCTGCTGGTGTTCCAGAAGGCTCTGGGTGCGCTCCGCTAGGCCCAGCAGACCTCAGGTAGTGCTGCTGGGCCGGCTTCTGAGGAGGGGCCCGGGGTGACAGCAGTGAGCTGGGTAACCCGAGGCCCATGTCCCCGCTCTTGTGCCGGGAGGGTCCTGGGCTCCGGGGGGGAACCCAGGGAGGGCGTAACCTGGACCCGGGGCTCCCAGGACCTAGTGGGTGCCTGGCCCTGGCAGTGACCAGTCTCTCCTCTCCCTACAGAGGATGGGAGAGTCAAGCCACGGCCCCCCAAGACCAAGAGCGACCGCAAGAAGAAGAGCCACGGCCCGCTGCCCCCAGCACTGCCGCCCCTGGCTGCCGCCTGTGCTGAGGAGGCCTTGAGGCTGCCGGCCCAGCTGGAGCTCCCCACACCAGGCTCTGGCCCCGCGGCCGCTGAGGAGAGCCCCCCGCTGGCACCCCTCAACGTGGTGCTCCCCGAGGGGCCCGGTGCGGAGCCGGAGGCCAAGCTGCGTCCCATCATCCCCATGCTGTACGTGCTGCCGCGGCCGGGCACAGCGGCGCTGCCCCCAGAGCACGCAGTCTGCC